TTACACTCAACATGTTTTTTTTCTTCCATGTATTACATGAAATCTAATTGCCCCAACGTTATCATTCTTGAATTATAAATATGTAGCTTGTTATAGATTTTATGATTTGTGTGGATATTGATCACGTATGCAACATGAATTGCTTACTGTTATAAATAGTACACCTTGCTATACTATGACTATGTGATTTATTGCAATATTGATATATATACTGAAGATTGGTGGTTTCTTTTGAACTCTTGACACAACATAAGTAAATGTTGTTAAGCTAATGTGTCAAATTATTTTCTACCTGCTTGACATGGTGATGATATATACCGTGTATGTGCATTTAAGGTTAAATTATTTTATAGTTGCTTTAATTTAATGTAACTGCGTTTAGTGAATTTAAATACTCTAATTTGATTATAAAAAATGAAAAAAAAAGAAGGGAAGATATATTCATATTTTATTTTTGGGTCTTGCAAAATTCTAAGAGTTTTCATAGGCAATTAAAAAACATCTCTTATTGTGCAAATTAGTAAGAGTTCACAGATATAAAGATCCAATTTATATAATAAATATGGGTTCCTATGGCCCATTATCTTTTATAATCTAAATAATTTAAGTTCCATGTAAGACTTCAAGAATCTTTGTAGGAATTTAAATTAATCACATTATCGTGTGGGATAATAAGTCCTCACAGATATAGTGGTTTTCAATATATATAATAAATGATTTTTATAGGTAATCATATAATACACAATTTAAAAATTAATTAATTAAATTAATGAAGTTAAGTTATAATCATATTTGCCAATTATATCTTTAATCATGTGCTATTTTTAAATTTTCATAGACTTTTAAGATAATCGTATTATCGTATGAGTTAATAAGACTCTACAGATATAACGATTAAGTTTTTAATATACATAAATTATATATTCAAATGATCACATTAAAAATATATTTAAATTTAATTCCTTTATCGTGTGAGATTTCATAATCTTTGCAGATATTTAGGATAATCATATTACCGTATAAGCTAATAAAGCTTTGCAGATATGATGATTAAAATTCTTCAAAACATGTATATACACACTAAAAATTATTATTAACACTTAAAAATATACATAAAAATATAAATAAATAAATTAAATTGCTAAATTCTTTTATCGTGTGAGATTTTAGAATCTTCGCAGATATTTAGAATAATTACATTACTGTATGAACTAATAAGGCTCTGCAGGTATGGTAGTTAAAATTCTCAATCATAAACATAAAGAAAAATAATTTTAAACCTTTTTTTTCTTTAATTTGAAATTCAAAAATTGAAAAAATAATTAAAATTAAATTACTTCTTGCAATTTAAAACACACATATCAAAATTTCAGAAATTATTTTATTTGCAAAATAGTGAGTTATTTCTAATTAATTTTTCTTCAAAAATATTTTCACCAACAAATTTTCAAGCCTGAACTACGTGAACTTTGATCCCTATCATAGGGTACGTAGGCCTCAGAGTCAAGTTCTGAGTCAAGTCTATCCTCCCTCATAAATAAATAAATATTTCTCACTCAATTATCATCATTTTTATATCAAACACATGAATATAAAAGGAATAATTAAAATAATTATAAAACTATATTAAAAGAGCACAACAAACTTCAGGTAACTGTTCTGACGAACGGGTGTTGTGGGGTGTCTACCACCTTCCCCACACTCAACCGACTCCTGAACCTATTCTATGATTTCGCAGACTACCCTTATCCTCCTTTTAAACGGTTTTTCAAGATTTACCTTAAAATCTCTGATTTCTCAAAAATTGAGAAAATAATTAAAATTAAATTACTTCTTGCAATTTAAAACACACATATTAAAATTTTAGAAATTGTTTTATTTGCAAATGGTGAGTTATTTTTAATTAATTTCTCTTTAAAAATATTTTCACCAACAAATTTTCAAACCTGAACTATGTGGACTTTGATCCTCATCACAAGGTACGTAGGCCTCTGAGTCAGGTTCTGAATCAAGTCCGTCCTCCCTCATAAATAAATAAATATTTATCACTCAATTATCATCATTTTTATATCAAACACATGATATAAAAAGGATAATTGAAATAATTTTAAAACCATATTAATAGAGCACAACAAACTTCAGGTAACCGTCCTCACGAACAGGTGTTGTGGGGTGCCTAACACCTTCCCCACGCTCAACCAACTCTTGAACCTATTCTCTATTTCCATAGACCATCCTTATCCTCCATTAATCGATTTCTCGAGATTTACCTCAAAATTTTGATGGTAACTCCTCATTCCGTCTGGTTCCAGCCGTGAAGGCCGAGACCTTCTCTCGTACACTGTTCGCGTCGCATTTTTTCAAGTGCGAAACTTAGCATTTAGAGAATATATGGAAGTATTAAGGTAGGTACATGAAGGAGTATGCAGGACTCATCTTTGGGCTAAAAGATACAAGAAATGTCAAACGCACAGGCTAGTTTAATGAGTGCCAGGCTTAGTCATGCATCCAATAATTAAGCTATGGCTCTTTTGATGGTGGGCTATAAATATAATAGGGAAAATCTATTTGGTCTCTTCCAAAGGTCACTCATTTATCTTAGTAGCCACATGCTACTTCACAAAATGGGTGAAGGCTGCCCTTATGAATAAAGTTGAGTAGGACAACATGATTAACTTTGTATGTGAAAAGATTGTCTTTAAATATGGGATTCCTCAAACTATCACAATAGATCAAGGAACCATATTCATTGGGAGTAACTTCAGGTCTTTTGCCAAAAAAAGTAGTATTAAATTACTAACATCAACGCCACATTATCTAAAGACGAACAAGCAAGCTGAGGCTTCTAATAAAATAATCCTAAGGATTTTGAAGAAAATGATAGAAGAAAATCCTGTGAAATGGCATGAGCGACTTCTAAAGGCATTGTGGGCCTATTGAACTTTAAAAAGAGAGGATACTGGTATGAGCCCATATGCCTTTACTTACGGTCATGAGGTCATACTACCTTTAAAAGTGGTTCTTCCTTCATTATGAGTTTCTAAGAGTCTAGGAATGAGCTTAAAGGAATACAATGAAGAAAGAGGTTTCTAGAATATAATAAAAGAATAAAAAAAATTTAGTTGGGTAAGCTCATGTGGAAACTTATTTTATCGCATGGAATTAAGGACCTGGCACTTAGAAATTTTCACCTAACTAGAAAGGACCATTGAAGATATTTCAAGTACTTAAAGGTAACATGTATTAGTTATCCAGTCTCATAGAGCGCCCTCATGCATAGTCCATAAATAGAAAAACACTTAAAGAAATATAGGTCATTGTTTAAAATAAAGTAATAAAGATCCAATGCTTAGAGTGGCCTTAGGAAAAGAACTCAGTAGAATAAAGAAAATTATATAAATTAATCAAAAATTATATTGGTACATGAGTAAAAAAGGGGAAATATATAACAGAAAGAAGAGAAGAAAAAGTTTGCCTTTCAACTCTCTACTATGGCCTTCTGATTATTTATAGCTTCGTGTGAATTGGCTTTAGCGATCTTATAGCAATACTAGCTTCCTCTAGGTCAGTCGCTTAAGATAGATGAATGGCCTCCTCAGCTTAAAGGGTGGCAAGTCTTCCTTGCACCTTAACCAACTCTGCATCTATTGGCTAGGTCTTCAACTTCCTCTAACTTTTTGCAGATTGCCACTTACTGTTGTTCAAACTCCACTTTCTTCACTTTTAACACCTAAATGTGCTTGGCCTTGGCTAAAAGTTCCTTGGCCTGGCTATCCAAGGTACTATCTCCACAAACACCTTAAGAAGGGCTAGCTGGGCTCTCAATTTGGCCTTAATGTTGGCCACCATGTCAGGAAACACTTCGAGATGAGTATAAATTTAGGTAAAGGCATGCAGAAAGCTCGGTGTAGAGCATCTCGACCATTGGTGATGGTCTCTTCAAATATAAGGAGGACCTCCTTGAAATAAGGCTCTCAAAGTAGCATTAGGTCCTTTTGAGAAAAAACTCATGATATGATATTCTAGCCTCCCCAAAGATGAGATCCTCATCGAACTCAAGCTTCATGAAATATCCGCTAGGCTAAGGAGGAGGTCAAGCCTTGCAAAAAAACAAAATAAAGAATCAAACAGAGTAAAATGAAGAAGGAATCAAATGTTAAAGTAAAGAGCTCACCATTAAAATCACAAGAGCCTTGCTTGGTTTGTGGATCCTTAAGGCCCAATGCAAGCATTGAGTTGTTTTAGCCTGCAATATAAGATACTGCACAACTGTAATATTTGATAAAGGTATAAAGGCTACGGGCTCTAGCTCTTGAGTAAGCCAAAGTAATTTTTGGACCCACAAATGATATGGCCCTTACGGCCCTAGTGGAGTAGCTTTAGGGCTATCCATAGAAAGTGCTAGAGCATTTAGCTAAGGATATTCTCATCATGGAGTGTCCTCCACGGCTCCCCTATAGCCAAGTCTTTAGACTCCTCCAAAGTGTCCAAGTCTTTATCGTTAAAAAAGAGAGTCAAGATTAAGATTAAGATGTCTTGCCCGTTGCCCTCTCCTTATCAGAACCATTCATTAGAACACGACA